TCCTCATCTCACGGAGGAGGTCGCTGGGAATTCATTAGCTGCCCTTTGCAAAGCACTTCCAAAATGCAAAGCCAGTGCATTATTCCTACTCTTCTGGATGCTTTCCATGTTATTAAAATCAGGATTTCAGAAAGGCTTATCTGGGATCAAAACAGCATCCCAAACTTGAAAGGAAGCAGGACTGTTAAACCATCAACTGTCGCCTCCCCCTCCAGCCAGATGTTAAGCCCTAAAGAACTGAAGTGGCACAAGGAATTACTTTCCCAAGTTCCCCCAGCTGGGCTGACAGGCCTTGATCAATGGTTTTCTCCACGGTGAGGGCTATGCAGATGGTCTGCCCAGAGCAAGGTTTCTGTGGAGTACAAAGGGAAGTCAAACACCATTTCTAATTCAGCTTGTAGCATGGCACACTTCCTTTATCCCCTGCCTGAATGCCCTGAATGGGAGAGCAGTGTGGGAAACTGGAGGGAACTCCACACTCACCACGTCTGTGAGACACTCCTGTCCTCCAGCCACATCTGCCCGTGACAGGCACAGGAGAGGAGTGACAGATCGAAAAATCAGATTAGCAAAACTGCCCAGAGGGAGAGTAAACCCTGAGGAAAAGGGAAGGAAGCTGTGCAGGCAGGCGGAAATCACACCAGGCAAACTGCAGGGCAGGGAAGGGCTGGGAGCTGGGGGAAATGCAAGGGAGGGCCAGGAGGAAATGCAGGGAAGAGGTGGGAGGAAATGCAAGGAAGGATTGGTAGAGAATGCAGGGAAAAACTGGGAGGAAATGCAGGAAAGGGTTGAGAGGAAATGCAGGGAAAAGCTGGGAGGAAATGCAAAGAAGGACTGGGAGAAAATGGCAGGGAAGGACTGTGAGAAAATGCAGGGAAAAGCTGGGAGGAAATGCAAAGAAGGACTGGGAGAAAATGGCAGGGAAGGACTGTGAGAAAATGCAGGGAAAAGCTGGGAGGAAATGCAAAGAAGGACTGGGAGAAAATGGCAGGGAAGGACTGTGAGAAAATGCAGGGAAAAGCTGGGAGGAAATGCAAAGAAGGACTGGGAGAAAATGGCAGGGAAGGACTGTGAGAAAATGCAGGGAAAAGCTGGGAGGAAATGCAAAGAAGGACTGGGAGAAAATGGCAGGGAAGGACTGTGAGAAAATGCAGGGAAAAGCTGGGAGGAAATGCAAAGAAGGACTGGGAGAAAATGGCAGGGAAGGACTGTGAGAAAATGCAGGGAAAAGCTGGGAGGAAATGCAAAGAAGGACTGGGAGAAAATGGCAGGGAAGGACTGTGAGAAAATGCAGGGAAAAGCTGGGAGGAAATGCAAAGAAGGACTGGGAGAAAATGGCAGGGAAGGACTGTGAGAAAATGCAGGGAAAAGCTGGGAGGAAATGCAAAGAAGGACTGGGAGAAAATGGCAGGGAAGGACTGTGAGAAAATGCAGGGAAAAGCTGGGAGGAAATGCAAAGAAGGACTGGGAGAAAATGGCAGGGAAGGACTGTGAGAAAATGCAGGGAAAAGCTGGGAGGAAATGCAAAGAAGGACTGGGAGAAAATGGCAGGGAAGGACTGTGAGAAAATGCAGGGAAAAGCTGGGAGGAAATGCAAAGAAGGACTGGGAGAAAATGGCAGGGAAGGACTGTGAGAAAATGCAGGGAAAAGCTGGGAGGAAATGCAAAGAAGGACTGGGAGAAAATGGCAGGGAAGGACTGTGAGAAAATGCAGGGAAAAGCTGGGAGGAAATGCAAAGAAGGACTGGGAGAAAATGGCAGGGAAGGACTGTGAGAAAATGCAGGGAAAAGCTGGGAGGAAATGCAAAGAAGGACTGGGAGAAAATGGCAGGGAAGGACTGTGAGAAAATGCAGGGAAAAGCTGGGAGGAAATGCAAAGAAGGACTGGGAGAAAATGGCAGGGAAGGACTGTGAGAAAATGCAGGGAAAAGCTGGGAGGAAATGCAAAGAAGGACTGGGAGAAAATGGCAGGGAAGGACTGTGAGAAAATGCAGGGAAAAGCTGGGAGGAAATAAGAGGGAAGGACTGTGAGAAAATGCAGGGAAAAGATGGGAGGAAATAAGAGGGAAGGACTGGGAGGAATTGCAGGGAAGGGCAGGGAGGAAATGCAGGGAAAAGCTGGGAAGAAATAAGAGGGAAGGACTGGGAGGAAATGCAGGGAAGAGCCAGGAGGCCTCTTAGCCTCAGTGAGGATCCCAGCCAGGCCCTTGGGATTGGAAATTAGGCCCATTCCATTTTCCACCTCAGGATGCTCTGTAGGACTCAGAGCTAACTAACTATCCTCTGTTTTGCTGCTTTTCCCATTCCCAGTTCCTCTCTGTCCCTGCTCCCAAGCCTTTCTCCTCTCCAAATGCCTTAGAGCCATAAGGCTGTAGAAGTTTGTGTACTCCCAAGTTTCCCACACTGTTCCTCAGCCACACTCCCTGCTGCCACAAAGGAAGTGTGCCCAGCTACAAACCACATTAGCAACGGTGCTTGGCTCTGCTTTGTGTTCAGTGGGAAACGCTGCTCCCAAAAGGCCATCTGGGCTGCTCGGGGAGGGAGGGGAGCAGTGGGAGCAGGAGCACATCTCCAAACCTGGGAAAGCAGCAGCATCTTGAAGTCCTCCTGAAGGGCTAACATCTGGCAGGGATTCAGTGCCCTGTTTCAAACACCCAGCCCCAGGATTTGGGGATCCTAAGGATTTTTCTGTGCCATGTGGTGTGTTTGGAGCCAGGTGTGTAATTCAGGATTCATTCTCCTTAGTTTCCACAGACTCTGCAAACTAATCCAGAGGAATCTTTGTTATCGCTTTCTTTAGGATTTCCAACCATCCATTTTGGGCATCTAATCTGAACATTTCCAAAATGGTCCATAATTGGCCGTTTTTTTTCCCCTTCAGAGACTGTGAAACCAAAGAGAAAGTAAAAAGCTCTTTTAAATACATGTTTTTATTTCAGATGCTTTAAGATTCAGAGTGAGGAAAAAGGAATCTCAGTGGATTTACCATCCAGGGGAGATTTTGCTACATTCATCTCACATTAATACATGGAATATTGTAGTTCTTATTATCACACACAGTTTGAACCTGTGGGACCTCCTGCCCCTATATCTCCAGGGTACAGAAGATTATTTCACACTCAACTTGCTCAGTTTCAGGCTCTGGGTCAGGCTGGATACTAACAGAGAGGAAATCATGAGCCCTGACCCCTAAATTGTGCCAGTGCATAGCCACTACCAAGAGCAAGGAGGGTAAGGCTGGCATGACTGTTCCTATGGAGTTAAATTGGTAATTCTCTGGCTATTGAGTGGAGAAACAAGAGGAAAACAACAAGTGTCTGTAGCAAAACCACCTGTGGCCCTGCTGATCATGGGACTGGCACTTTCTTCTCCATGCACTCAATTAACGAGCTCGAAAAGGAGTTACAGCTTGGGAGTTTCTGTTCCAGGGAATCTCCCCAAGAGGGATGCACAGAGTGCAGGATTGGTTTCAGAGGTGGCATTACATGGGCTCAAAGATAATCCACAGGCTTTGAGGAGAACATGTGAAACGGTGTCACAAAAGCTTTCCCACAACTTGACATAAAAGACCCAGAGCTCAACAGCTGCTGCTCTGTGTGGAGAGAAGGGAACCATTCAGGGCAGCACAATGGGGAGGGAAAAGCAGAGCCTGGAAGAGGTCATTTAAACCTTACCTGGTCCTGCAGTAATGAGCTGCAGAGAGAGAGAGAGAGAAATGTGTCCATGTGCTCTGTGTGTGTGTTCACATCGAAGGACATGTGTGACCACACACAGATGTTAATGCATAGAACACACAGATATTACCTATATTGACATAAATGCAAACAGTATGTACTTGCTGCAGCAAGAGCTCCCTGCACATAAGCCCTGACATCACCTGGCAGGT